TGCTAGAGTAAAACTGATGGCCTGTTGTTCCCTGAACACACAGCACTATTTAAAACTTCGTGCTTTCACTCTGATGAAACCTCTGCCTGGAATCATCCTCAGTTTCCTCACTAACTCCCATTCAATAAGTCACAGGTCAAATGTCATCTCCAGTGAGCCTTCTAGGAACCTCCAGATTGGGTGAGCTGACCTCACAGAACCCGGCAGCAACCGGGGCAATGGAAGGCGGAGGTAAGGGAGGTAGGGGAGGGTAAGGCATTGGATAAAAAGCAAGTGGTGTGGCCAGGTGCAATGGCTCATGCCTGTAATCTCAGCACTTTGGGAGGTGGGCGGATCACGAGGTCAAGAGATCAAGAGCATCCTGGCTAACACAGTGAAACCTCCATCTCTACTAAAAATACAAAAAATTAGCTGGGCGTGGTGGCACATGCCTGTAGTCCCAGCTACTTGGGAGGCTGAGGCAAGAGAACCCGGGAGGCGGAGGTTGCGGTGAGCCAAGATTGCACCACTGCCCTCCAGCCTGGGTGATAAGTGAGACTCTGTCTCACAAACAAAACCAAGTGGTTTGGCTGAAAGTCTGTATAGAGAGCAATTAAACTCCAAGACCCTGTCCTTCCCTACAAATGGCAATTATCAAGGTCTACCGTCTGGATTTCCCTTTAAGAAAAAGCTTGCCATTCAGCTGGCAAGAGTGCAGTTAGCCAGCAGCTTCCACTTGCAATGCCTTCAGGATCCACCTGGCCGTTTCTAAGTAGCCCCTGGCCAATGGCTGAGCACAATAGGTAACCCAGCCATTTCTGCCCAGGTGGGACTTTTTTTCAGATTTTGCTCTGCAGATCCCTGTTGAGCTGGTAGAGATTCTGAGGCTCACTCTGCCAACCCTCTTCCTCACCCCTTCCTTTTCACTGCTGTCTGATATCCTTTAAAACACAGCTGTCTGATCTACGCTGCAGCCTGAAGATTTCTTCTTTCGTATCTTTCACAAGCATTAACTCCCCATCCTATTAATAAACTGCTAGCACCTCTAATTTGGCCTCAGCCCTACTTCCCAGAGGACCCAAACGTCACAGTCATTTCTAAGAGTGGTCTAACAAAACAGTTGATAAGATGGGTTTAGACTGGATCACTTTCTGTCTGGCTGGTCATAAGAATACCATCCTGGGAGAGGCAGGGACATAAATAGTCCCTAGCATAAGGTAGTGATGTAGTTGCTAAACCTTTCATAGTGGTGACTCGGGGGAATGTTCCTGGGAAGGGGACCACCCTGCCCTGCTTACTGCAATAATCCAGGCACTTGAAAAGCTCAGGAGAACGAGTCTTACAAGGGCAGTGGAATTGTTGGTCTTTAATAAGTTGTATTGATGCCCTCCAGACGGGTAATGAAAAGCTGAGAACCAGAAATAAGTGACAACTAAGTGTGAGGGCCTTATCATGAGGTGGGAGAACAGAAGAAGCCCAAGACCAAACTCAGGATTTAATAGTTTAAAAGCTGCAGAGGTCTTTAAAGGAATCCACTCGGACAATGTCATCCTTGTGTCAGAATCCTAGATTTTCCCAACCAGCGCCCTAATTTTGGCTGAAGCAAACGTAACAAACCTGCCTCAGCTGGGCCACTGCCCTGGCTGAGATAGTCAATCAAAAACAAAATCACAGCTGGGAGCAGTGATCACATGAGAACTATCACAAAGACAGTGTCAAGAAGCCATGAGGGATTCACCCCCATGACCCAACACTTTAGAATCAAGGCTGAGACAGGAGGATCACTTGGGTCCCGGAGTTCGAGACCAGCCTGGGCAACACAGTGAGACTCCCCACCGACCCCCTGTCTCAATTTAAAACACAAAATCACACCTTGGAGGAGGTGAAGATGATGCCACCCTTGAAGATCTCAAGGATACAGGGAGGCCCCCACCAAAGTTCCATTTAATTCACCAATCTGGCCACTGCTGGAACTAGGTAGATCCTGGTGAATTACTGCAATCAAAGGCCAGCTCAATTAAGGAGCGGCTCTGCTGTAAAGAAATACCTGTGACTGGGTAATTTACAAGAAAAGAGGTTTAATTGGCTCACAGTTCTGCAGGCTGTACAATCATGGTGCCGATATCCCTTGGCTTCTGGGGAGGACTCAGGGAGCTTTTACCCATGGTGGAAGGCAAATTGGGAGCAGGTACATTACACAGTAAAATCAGGAGCAAGAGAGAGAGGCAGTGGCGGGGGGTGGGGAGTGGGGGGTGGGAGTAGGTGTCACACACTTTTAAACAACCAGATCTCACAAGGACTTACTATCTCGAAGACAATGTGAAGCATGAGGGGTTCTCCTCCACGACCCAAACACCTCCCACCAGGCCCCATCTGCAGCACTAGGGATTACAATTCAACACGAGATTTGGGTGGGGACAAATATCCAAACTTATATACCAGGTTCCGATGGCAAACTTACATACCAGCTGCTGTGCTCAAGTGGCATCTTCTTGGCTGAAGTGGATTAGAAGGCCTCTGGAACATAGTATCCAGCCACTGATTTGCTGAATGTGTTCTTTTCCATCTCAACCATGAACGATCAGAAACCGGGAGCATTTGCAGTATCACCTTAGGGCTATGTAAGTTCTGCTCTCCTAAGAGACTCAGGTCTCCTGAACATCCTGTAGAATGTCACACTGATCTATCACATTGATGGCGTCATGCTGATCAGGCAGAATGAGCAAAGGTGGCTGGCACCCTGATGGCCAGAAGATGGGAGATAAAACCTGATGAAGATCAAGGACTTGTGATTTCAGTCATGTTTTTAGGAGTCAAACAATCAAGGTGTGCCAGGACATTCCCTCCAAGTTGAAGTCAAACTGCTTTATCTTATATCCCCTTTCTCAAAGAAGGAAACACAGAGCCTGGCTTTGGGTTCTGGAGGGAAGACATTCCACACTTAGGGGTACTGCTCCAACTTATGTACTGAACGACAGAAAAGGCTGCCAGCTTTGAGGGATCTGGGGCGGGAAAGAGGTCTGCAGCAGGTCCAAGCTGGGGTGCAAGCATTCCTGCCACTTGGGCTATATGATGTGGTAAACCCTATGGTGCTGGTGGTGTCAGTGGTAGAGACAGATGTAGTGTGGGTTTTATGGTGAGCCCCAGTGGAGAATAACTGTGCAGGTCCCATGGTTACACCTGGGAAAGACCATTTCAGGCTCAGTGGAGAATAATTCCTTTGTAAAATAAATTACTGTGCCATGGTAGACCCAGAATGCTTGACCACAGGACCCCAAATGACCATGCATCTAAAACTGCCCATATGTGCTAAGTGCACTTGGACCCACTGTTAAGGGCTGAAATGTGTCTCCCCCAAATTCTTATGTTGAAGTACTAACCCCTGGTACCTCAGAAAGTGACTGTACGTGGAAACAAAGTATTTAAAGAGGTATGTTAAAATGAGATGTTTAAAACACACCCTAATCCATTATGACTGGTGTCCTTATAAGAAGAAAAAATTTAGTCACAGAGTAAAGATCATGTGAGGACAGATGAGGGCCATCTGTAAGCCAAGAGAGGCCTCAGAAGAAACCAACCCTGCCAACACCTTGATCCTGACCTTGGACTTCTAGCTTCCAGATCTGTGAGAAAATTAATTTCCGTTGTAGAAGCTTCCCAGTCTCTGATATTCTGTTACGGCAGTTCCAGCAGAGTAATGTGCCCACCCACTCAGAGTCAGGTGGAGCCAGCAGCAGTCCACTGGAAGATGGAAACGGCACATCTGGGATCAGGCATGAGCAGAATGGGAGAGCACAAGTAAGTTGTAAGAGCAGGTAGGCCAGACTCCCATGTCACCACCTTAGTTCTTTATACCTGTGGCCATACAGAGGGTCCCATACAACCAACTGAAAGGAGAAGAAAAGCTGATCTTGGTTTACAGATGGATTGGCCTGTTATGTGCGTGTGAGCCAAAACTGGAGGGTGGTTGCCTGAAAGCCATGCAGGGGTGGCCTTCAAAAGAATGTGGAAAAAGAAAACCTTTCCAAGAAAAAAGCTTTGAGTAGTATACCTGCTCATGCACTATGTATGGTAGTGACCTGTGGGGAGAATATCCGTTTAGTCATGAGCAGTAGCCTGGCTAGCTACTTTGGGACTTAGAAGGAAAAAGTCTAGAGGAGCAGGAAACAAGGAAGTAAAGGCTGGAGAAACATGGATAGGCCTATCTATGGGAGAGGATGGCGAGTGTGAAGATCTGTGTATTCCATGTTAACGCTCACTAGAAAGCAACCACCATAGCAAGAGGCACTGAACCACCCAGTAGATAAAATGACTTGGTCAGTTAACTTTAGCCAGCTTTCATCATCAGCCACCCCAGAACTACCATGATGGGCACCTGAATGGAACAGGCCTCACTGTACAGATGGTCCCTACTCTTGGGACCCACAGCACGAATTCTCACTTACCATGGCCAATGCAGCTATTGCCACCTGTGAATATCCAACTTGCTGGCAATAGAGACAAATACTGAGCTCCCAATGTGGCACTATTCTTCAAGGAAACCCACCAGCTACCTGGTGGGACATGAGCTCCATTGGGCCCTTTCCACTGTGAAAGGGCCAATAGCTGATTCTCACAATAGACATTTTCTCCGCATGGGTTTGCCTTTCTGCCTGCATAGCCTGCCCAATTTTTGCTTCTTTCCTCTTTTATCATTATAGTCATTACTTTCTCTTAGCATTTGCTTCCTGCAAAACTCAACTGACACACTTGTCTTCCCTCTCTTTCTCTCCTGAAAGGTGAAATTGGAGAAACTGAAGAGGGATGGACTTGGGGATCCCTAAGCACAGTGGGAAGCTGGTATTTAAGGGTATTTTTAAAGTGTAAGACTTTCTAATGAGGAATTATGATGCCTCCATACCAAAATCTGCACCCTTAATAGAGGGTCACCCAGCTTATTTTCCCTTTCTCAACCCAATAGCCAATCAGTTACTTTTTCAAGTCATCTTAAAGTCTTTAGGGCAAAGAAGGATTAAAAATACATAATCAAATTTTTTTTTAATTTTTCTACAGCAAAATAAAAACACATTATTTTAAAATGCAATATTCTACATTAAATACATTAAGATATTGACAATTTTATAAATAAAATCATTTTAAACAGTAAATACATGATAAATTTCTGATACAAGGTTTTACATAGGTTAATTGTGAAAATATAAAAACTTTACATCTTCTCTTAAAAAGCATTCAAAGTAATCAATTTTACAAAATTATCAAAAGTTAAAAAGTGCTAGATATGCTTTTATTTTGTTCCATTACTAAGGCAATGATAGTATATCAGATCTTAAAAAAAGAAAAGGTGAATTAGGACATAAGACTCATCCTATATTGCCTAAAAACGAACATTTCAGAGACTTTCTTAGACACTGGGAAAGGCTGGGAAGCTGACTGAGCTCAAAATCAGTGAAGGTTGCCATCCGCCTAGCACCATTACCCCTCATGGTTGTCAGAACCAGGAGACTTCTTCCTGGCTACCCGTGGGGAGTCTTCTACCCCTATTATTTCCTAGTTTCCAGGAGAAAGGGTTTCAGAAAGAATTTTGACATTTAAATTCTATGCCAGTACTGAAACTCTCCCAAAGATTGAGGCATTCTGCATTTGAATATTATACAAAAAGTCATGAATCTAATTTCAAATGAAAAGAGAGCACTTCATTTGGTCACTTAATTTCATACCACTTGTAGAGGTAGGATAATTTTTTTCTTTGACAACTGTCTTGACTATATAAATGGTGATTATACCGGAAAGGGTTCTAATGCCTTTTCTGCATTCTTCCAGTTGTGAAAATTCTCTCTGTACCATTCAACTAATAGGAAAAAACAAAAGACAAAAAAAGAAAAAAACTAAACATCAGTTAACCAACATTTACTGAGTTCCTGCTAGCTAAGTCTTGCCCATCAGCTAAGCAGCAGACAAGGGCTGCCTAATGATGTAAACAATTTGATTTTGAACTTAACAATTAAGTCAATCAGAAGACATTTAAATCACCTAAAAAATTTATAATTAAAAATCAATGATTTTTTTTCTTTTTAACTTCAAAAGTCATTCAATACTGAACTTGTTGGTATAAATATTTAAGACATTCTGATTTTAAGGA